GGGGGGGGGGGGGGGGGGGGAGGTGGATAACTGGATGGCATAAAAAGACAAAGGAGCCGATAAAATCGCGTAGAGCCAATTCCCGAACGGTGAATTGTGTGTGGAGGTTTTGTCGAGGGTGGTTCTCGTAGTGAGCATAGGGTTTCGAAAGGGAGCACCCACCTAAGTGTATATATAGATAGATAGATCGAGAGAGAGAGAGAGAGAGGGGTCGGAGGGGTAAGCGGGTGGATTTTTCGCGGTATCCTATGGGTTGCCGATCTGATCGGAGACAATCCATCCCCGACGCGGCGAACACGGGACAGGCGTGGTTCTCGGAACCCGCTTTGAAAATCCGTGGAACGGTAAAAAAAGCGATTCGCAGAGTAGGAATCGACGGTGTCCTCGAATGGGAACTCGTCGAATAAAAGAGCTCCACCCTAAGCCGCACTACGGGGATGAAGAGAAGGAAAGAGGCTGAGGAAGTTAGCTAGGTATCTCTGGGTACACGTATATGTTCTTGGGTGGATAGCCAAAGTGTGTGAAAGAGAGAGAGAGAGAGAGAGAGAGATATAGAGATGGATAAAGTAGAAAGAGAGTTGGGAGACCGTAGTAGCTAGCACTTCTACAGGGCGAGCGACTTGCTGACGTCGAGCCATTATTTGTTACAGGCTTCCTGGGGGATGGTCTGAGGTGGAATACGTTAAGATTCGACGGAAAGATGTCGATTGGCTGGCAAATGGCCCTGTAAGCCCAGGATTTGGGATCCTGACAGGATTTCGATGGTCAGAAGTCAACGCGCTTCTCAAATGACTAGGATGACTCGGATTCAGGATCGAATGGACCCTTTAAGCGTAAGTTCTAATCTATATTGAGTTCATAAAGATATTTATTGGGTTAGTGTAAATATTTTGTTGATTCTTTCATTTTTTTCATTTCAGATTGTGGTAAAATATTCATTGGACTTATCTAAGACAATTGGGCATGTTTGTTTTAACGGAAGTGACGTAGGAAGTACCAACACTGGTTACGGGCTCGAATTGGTACCGTATACTTTGGCCCATTTAAGGGTCGCCCCTGGGGTTCCCCGGTAAGCCTGGGTAATTTATTACTGGCTGTACATTCGCTACTAAATAAGGGTGGCCCCGTATCAAACCCAGTTTCCACCCGTTAACCCCTCTCAGCTAGTATGCTGTCCTGTACCCCACGAATTGTTTGGAACCGCTACCACTCCCCGCAATCCCATCAACTGGTTATTCCAACTGGGAGTCTCGATTTCGACTCGCTCTAATGTTATTCAGGGGCCCGGATTAAACCGTGTACCTCTCTTGCGCATTTGCAATCGAATACTCTTCCCGTTTCCCCATTTCCTCGGGTCCCTATGTTACCCTCCGTGATATTCCCTCAGTCATTCTCCAGATACATGATTTCGCTGCAGCATCCACAGTGACTCCGATTTTATTGACAATCTGAATAGCAGGAGCGGACGTAGGAAGGGAGGGTAAGGAAAATTCGTGGGAAAGAAAGTGCTTAAGGGGTAGTTTAGTTTAAAGGATTTTTTTTATTGCTCGTTGATTAATCAAGGATTTCTTCTTTTTCAGAGTCTCGGCAGACCGACGACACCTGTAATATACAGGTCCTTGTTTCACCTTGGCGTTATCGTGCTTCGGTTGGTCTAAAATGAAGGGTAAAATAAAAGGAAAGTTCGCAAATAAAAATGAAACTAACGAAAGCTGCACCCATTCGCCTGAATGGGTCGGTGTCAAAATAAATTGGAGTTATTGCGGCCTGGTGTAATCCTCTCGCTGGCATCGGGCCGCTGCCACCCTGGCTCTGGATATTGCCTTTGTTAATAAAATCACACCCCTGAAGTCTAGTGAGCCTCGAGGCTTTCGAAACGAACTGAATAACAAAAAAATACGAGGAGAAACTAGAGCTAACAGGAATAATAATAAATGTCGGTTTACAAATGTATCCTGCTACACGATTCATGTCCTATGGAATCGACGCGGAGCTTAATTTCACTCGTTACAACATCGTTTCGAAAAATGCCGATGCTTCACGTATTTTTTGTAATTATTCTTGTTTTTCGTATTTTACGTAAAATTTACTGTAATACTGCGTTGATGTCAGCCAGTCGTATTACGATCGATAAGAAAAACTAAATATATTGTACTATTAATTAATAATCGATATCTCATAAATATCTCTCATCAAACTTGAATTTACGATTAATTTTAGAAAATAATAGAGAATCACAGAATATTATTTTTATACGTCTATATATACATAAATATTCATTTCTTAAGTTTGATTGATTGTTCACTCATGAACATCCATAATAGAAGAATCATGCTTCCATAATAATTTCTTCTTTATGAATGAAACTTGACTGTTTCCTTATTCTAACTGTAGGACTGTCATTCAGCAGCTATTGTAGGATTAAAATGAGGTATGGTCAACTGAACCAATTGGCTAATCTACACAGTGCCAATGTGTTAGGAAATATTTGAAATAAGTGATCACGTATAGAATAATAATGTGCAGAAGAATACATAGGCTTGAGAACAGGAAGTGATATTTACAAGAGAAAACGGTGCGAGGATATCCAATGGGCGAAGAATAGCTTCTATTCGGGACTCGGGTCACCGCGGTCGACGAATTTGCATCTATCTTTCTAATTTCGTTGAGCCAATCTGCATGTTGTTATGCCACTCGGTGCTAGGGGAGACGTCCCGTTAAAACGGGCGACGCTTAAATAAACCATCCCCGAGAGAGTCGATCGTTTTCTATTCTCTTTTTTCGTCGTGACACTCCTTTCTCTCTCTCTCTCTCTCTTGCAGTACTGCTATTCTTTCCTACTCCATCATACTGCCCCTTGCCTTTCCTCACGTAATCCCACGTTCTCGTAGACTCTTACTTCCTTTCCATTGGCTTCTCTTCTTTTTCCGCATTATAATTTTCCCAGCATATATATTTTCTTTTTACCGCTTTTCGAAAACTTGTCAAAATCATAGAATTTTCGTTTGGGCCTGTAGATTTATTTGGAATATAATTTTTTTTTTGTTTTCTCTCGGCCGAGCCCGTAGTAGGTATATTTGGTTTTTCTTTTTCTTTTCTCAGCGATAAAACTTTTTCGTTTGGATTAACGCAGGGAGGGAGGATGATCGAAAGTGAGTTATTCACTTCCTCCATTTGACTAATGAAATCTTGAGCGGCCTGGATTACCAGGGTGTTTCTGGAAAATGTTAGTAAGCCGAAGAACTTATGCACGTTTAACAAAATGTTTTCAGGATGTTCGCCAGTGTCTTGGGAAGAGAAAGAATGTACAGCTAGGACAGGGATCTTGGTACGGACGAGGTGGAAGGATGGCGAATGAATAGTACGAGGGTGGCGGAAGGGCGGATGGGTGGAATGACGAGGAGATAAACAACACTAATAAATCAGCGTAATTGAGTTAACGACGGACTTTAAACTTAAGGCTTAGCGAGGTGAGTAATTGCTTGAGATGGCTTTCCGCTCCCTTTTGCCCGGCTCTGTGTCCTAATTACCGATTTCATCCATTTCTTCGTAATTAGCAGGACATCCGGTAAGGAGTTACGCAGTATCAACCCTTTGGCTTCACGCAGTACGTCCCAACACCTTCAAGGAAGCCTCGTCTCTTCTTCACGAAGAAAGTGCAACTTTATGAAAAACGACTAAACTTTATTTGCTTCAATATTTTTGATCCAAGCATTTACGTAAAAAGAAGGACAGTTTTATCGATTGATGGATTCTCTGCTTTCGTCCTTGAATCAGGGTTTTCCTAAATTATTTTATGAATTGAGTGATATTTTTTTTAAGGATTTTCCTGATTTTTTTTATTTCAAATCCAAGTTGTGGGATACTTTGTTCCTTAATGTGTCTTATTATATGAATTGTAACAGGAAGAGAATTTTGGTATCCTTATTTCAGTTATTAGGCTTAATGATGCAATTAGCACAGTGATTAACGAGTACTTGATTGACCCAAATGACCCGACGGTACGCGAGGTGGTCCAAATTCTTTGGAACGAATCTCTTGCGGGATTCCATAGTGCCCCTTTGGATCACTCTTTTCCCATTCCACGAGCAGCATCTTTTTCTCCCTTTTATCTTGCGGGGACGAGGTCGCCGCGCGAAATGGAGAGCTAAAGACTCCATCTAACACGTCCAAGGGCTCAATCCCCTTCGTCCTACGAAAGCTGGATTACAAGAGCATTAGGAAAGAGAGATGTAACGGCGACATCTTTTTACGGGCTGCAAAAAAGTCACCGTGTAGATATCATCCCCCGGCGTACCCCTAAGCCGGCCAAACCTGCTAGGTATTTAACGCTGTTCTACCAGATCCACTTTCGCCCTGAGAAATGAGAGGGACACACAGTGATTGTGTCTAAAGTGTATTAAAGAAGCGAAAAAAAGAACAGAAAAGGAACGACAAGAGCTAAAAGGGAGTCTACCAGGGACAATATCAAGGGTGCGTAAATACCAAGAAATGGAATTTACAGGATTTCTCAATGAAACCTATAGATATTCATCTGATTATTCTTTGATAACGATAAGGGTGAGAGTCGTACAAGCGAATCCAGCCAAGGGAAAGAATGCATCGTTAATCAACCCCTATGTGAATCGCATACGTTATAGGTGCATTCGTACGTGTGGATTGCAGCGATTTTTTGTCCTCCTATTGGAATTATAGATTTATCTTGGTGGAAGTATAATCTATAGTATGTAGACGGTAGGATTACATTGGCAAGGTCTATATATATAGAGAGAACCGGGATGTCGACAAAATGGCGGTAATAAGGGGTGTCAGGAAAATGGCCGCTCTGATGAACCCTGAATCGCGGCATTACGGGAACTGATTGCGACTCTGGACGGGACCGGTACGACCGGGTTACGGGGTAGATTGCGGGTGAACACCAGTAGGGGGAGTTGAGGGGGGTGCGGTCACGTACCGGCGCTCCCGGAGAAACCAGGAGAATTGAAAGGAGTGCACCAGCACCCCTAAACCGTTCTAAGGAAGGGGTTAGAGTTAGTTAGCGATGTGTGATGTCATGAAGCCACCACCCCCCTCCTCGTTCCCACACCCCCTGTTATATCTGCCCGCCCTATGTCTATACTATTCATTCACCTCGGCATCCTAGACCCTCTCAACCCTTACGTACCATGCCAGGAGTACAGCACCGACCTAGAGACAGACAAGGGTGGTTCGGAATGCCAAATTGTGCCCAGGATTTCACGGAATTACCCAGGAAATTATGATCCGATTAGAACCTCCCGCTCCCCTCCCGTTCATTACCGAGATTCAAAATCGTGCGTGCGCCGAATTAAGATTGCGTCGCTGCAGCGCGTCATCACTTCCGGTTTCACGTGTGAATTCATATTATACGAAACACGTGGAGCGATCTCCGAGTTCTATTTAGGGGATGATCACTAAATCTGCACGTTTTTAGAATTCTATGAAATTAATGTACCATCGCGTGCTGCGTTATACGTAACCAAGCAATGACCTTTGACCCTTCGATTGTACAGGGCGTTTCAGTTGCAATCCCATTTTATTTTTTTTTTTTTATAATAAATTTTGAACCATTTCGGTAATTTTTTCGGACTCGTTAAACGGATACTGATGATGATGCTTCCCGTATGGGCCGGACATGACGTACTGGGCTTGTCTATTATCAAGGGTAGTGTCGACGATGATAAGGACCCCGGGGGTGTTTTACGTCACTTTTATCTGGTGCTTGTAAATTTTAAATATTCATCCCTGCCCTGGCCGCGCTAAATAATGGAGGCTCGCGTGACTTCTGAGAAGAGTCGCGCGTCGAATTAATATTTGATTATACACCGTAAACGGGATATATTTACTCGCGTGGCTTCCCGCTAGCAACAAGACCACGAGGAGTGCGGGCGACTGCTGTTATGGCTGCCGGATCTATGTCGAAGATCCGGAATCGTAACGTATACGCGAATATTCATGCGTGCCAGTCTGCAGAGGGTAACGGGAGATTGGATTGACGACAAAGAGTTTTATCGAACCTGGTATAGATGAAGGAAGATAGGCAGAATGGAAGTATATAATTCCATACATATATATATGGTGTTTAAAAAAAATATTCCGAGAACGAAACCAATATATTTGTACGAAAGAAAAAGTATCTTGATACGTGTATTACACGCGAGGGTATAATTTAATTAGAGGATCCGTCGTATAGGGTGCTTGGGAAAATGGCTGCGATACGGATAAAAATAATAGAGGCACCTTTGAATGGTAGAGGAAAAACAATTTTTTTTTTTTAAAGATATAGATGCGTCCACGCGAAATAATAAAATTAATGCGAAGCTAAAGACCAGACGTTAAGAGTGGACGGAGTGGATGATACCGGGAAGGTTGGTGCGAACGGTGACGCGGGAGGGGAGGGACTGACGAGGGCTAAGAGGCTCAGGAGGGGAATTAGAGATCCGAATCGGTCTCGGGCGTTTAATTTCTCGAAAAGTCATAACGCGATTAAAGCACGCGCCGCGGCTTCGCCGAGTGTTATCTTCAAATATCTCGAGCGAATAAAATATCCGCGCACTTGATCGTCCGAGACCGCGGAAGATCGCTCGGAGAGCACTCGAATGCTTAAAGCGCGCGAGAAACGCCGCCGCGGCTTCCCGGTTTCCTCGCTTCGGCGCTTACTGCTTTTTCTTCCTTTCCGCGGTCTCTCTCGTTGGGGCGGGGGAGGACTGAGGAAAATCGGGTCGGGCACCGAGGAACCCGTGTGACGTAACTCACGTTGGGTGACGGGGGAGTGCATTGTCAAGATATGCAAGAGTAGGAAAAAAAGAAAATTTTTCAAAAACGACATAAGTTTTTTGGGAAATATATTACTTTTTTTTTTTTTTCTTTTTTTTTTTAATATTTTTATTACAAGCGACGGGTAATATTCGATCGTTAGAATATAATGGTTAAGTAATCAATCCTTAATTCGAATTTGGACTACTCTGTACTTTTTTAATTTTAAGCAATTTTTTCTTAATCATCCCCGAGATACATCTCCATGAAAACGTATTGATGGAATGTAGTAAAAAAATTTTTTTTTTATCATATAACATGTACATCCTCGTTATATTAATTTTCGTCGCATTTCTTTGTACAGGCATATTTTTGATATATGTGAAATTCAGCTTACGTATATATGGGATATATTCGGTACGGTAAGAAAATGTATATTCACGATATATAAAAAATATATATGTTTTTACTGTACCTATATGACGTTTTCGCGGGGTTAGAACGTCATGACTGTCAATGAGCGCTGGTCCAGCAACATGTAGTAGCTCGAGGTACGGAGGGTCCGTCGGTTTGTCGGTTCTATAATGTTATTTCGTTAATTAACACAAAGGAAAGTTGCCAAGCATTGTCTCACCTCAATGCGCGCTCATTAGCGACCAGCAATGGACAAGCCGGGAGGTGGAAAGGATGGTTGGTGATTCTATAGAATCTACTTTCGACCCGCCCCGTCTCTTTCTCTTTTTTTAAAATCACTCCGTCTCTCTCCTCCACAATCCGCACCCCTCCCTCCGACCCCCTCTCGCCATTATCCAGTTCCGCGTTTCAAATACTCAACCCCTATTCCCTTGTATTAATTGGATAAGTTTCACAATTAAAAACACTCGCCCGGGCCCTGCGGGTTGGCCTGCGTCACAAACGAATAGGACAAAAGCATCGAGAATGCCCTGCGAAACGGCAGATTAGATTTACGGGAATATTGTATTGTTTTTTTTGTCTGTGGGATATTAGTTATCGATATGGTTCCGATAGGTATCCATATTATACAAAAGTTAATGGCCGATTCGCATCCTATTGGCACTGTAACTATTACGTACTATAATGTGTTTATAGGTTATGGCTGTACTGGTACTGGCTATACAGACTCAAGATCGATTAATGGACCAAATACGTATCTCTGTGCTGCAGGTGGTTAATAGAGCCTCAATGGGCATTTGGCAAGGTTCGAAAGAAATCCAAGTGCTTATGCCAAGCTGTTATATTCAAGTTAGGTTAGGTTTGGTACGTCTAGGGAATTTTATTAGTTAATTAAATATCGGCATTACCTGATAACATTGATTTCTTATTTTTGAAATTTTTTCTTTCACTTTTTTCGATTTTCTTAAAATTAAATATCGTGGGTAGCGTTCGTTCGAAAAATTATAGCAGTCGGACACAACTTTCTGTAGTGTTTCAATCAACGCGTAAAGAATTGACCATTTTTTGAGGTTACCTTGGAAATGTATATACGTAAACTTGTCGATCGTATGGATTGAGGTTATGAAACATAAAGGGGTGTTCATAATAGCGAGCTGATGCTTTTAACAAAATGACTACCTTGGGACACCACAGCATTGGAATTCTCACCTGACCTGACCTAACGTAACCTTTTCCAAGCCCATCGCAAATCCGGATGCCTAGCGTTGGAAAAGTTTAACCCTTTTAGTGCCGGACGAAAAACCGGTGCCTATGCGAGGATAACCGGAGGAATTTGACGAATTTACAACGGGTTGGGAAAAAGGTCATAAAAATCAAACTAAAAATGATAATTACATAATTGAAAAAACAACGTATTACGGAAGAAGGGGAGAATAATGTAATGCTAATTATATTTAAATATTTATTTCAAAATAGAGCTTTCTCGCAATCCGAAGAATAAGGCGTCATCGCATACGCAACGATATATCGTCGTCCGGCACTAAAAGGGTTAAACAAATCTGGTGTGACTTTATGACCCTGAAAACAGCTGTTACGCTGTAAATTCTTTGAGGACAGACCTGAGAACAACCAAATTGCCTCAAAATAGCCAATATGCAAATGAAATCGTGTTCAAGATAGCCCAGCGCCAAATTCATATGTATAACATT